CGCCTCCTCCCTCCCGGATGCCGCCGGCAGCTGCAGTAGCCACCTCGCCGCCCCTGCAGGTGGTGGATACCCTGTTCGTCGGCCGCTGTGTCCTGCTGGCCTTCCTCAGTGCCGTCTTCCTCGGAGGCCTCTTCCTGGTCCTGGTTCATCATGGCCTGGAGCCCGTCTATGCCAAACCTCTGCGGTCCTGCTGAGCACGCTCAGGGAAGCCACACGGTGCCCCACCAGGCGGGACCGGACGCCACCATTCCCGCCTCATCCCACAGCCCTGGGCTCTGGGTCACAGGGGCACCACCCACCGCCAGGTCACGGGTCCTGGCTCATCCCAGTGGTGACTCCTGCCTGCCTACGAGGGGGCTAATGTGTCCACACCTGCCCCGGTGCATCTGCTGCGAGAGGGCCAGTGCAGGGACCTGCGGGGTCAGCTCCGGGTTGCTGGGGGGCACCGTGGCATCTGCTCTGGGTGGCAGAGTCTGGTCCTCAGGCAGCGGGCGCCACTCCCAGGTGTGGGCCGGATGGTGTGGAGCAGCCAGGCGCACACCGAATGTCAGGTAATTCGGAAGACTCCTCCAGGTGCCGGGACTGAGCCCAGAGCCCCACAAGGAAGGGTGTTACGTCTGCGAGAGCCAGACGCAGCCACGGCACCCTTGCCTGCTCTGGCCACGGCGCTTGCACTCCAGTGTCAGTGCTCCACGCGTGCTCGGGCCGGGGAAAGGCATGGGGGTCACGTGCTGCCGCCGTGCCAGTGTCTTTTGTCCAGGATCTGGGCCTCAGTGAGCGCGGGGTCCTGTCCAGCCTCGCAGCCGGCGAGGAGCGCATGTCTGCACCTCCTCCCGCCTGGGCACCCAGCATGCAGACGTGGAAGACGCCTGCTCCGCGCGTCCCAGTGTAGAGACCCCTCCTCTGAGGGAAGGTCTGGGCTAAGCTGGAGGGTCCACCACTGACCAGCACACCGGCCTCTTCCAGACAGCGACAGCCCCCACCTTAAAGCAGAAAATGCAGGACTCGTGCAGGCGAGTGAGTGCCCACGTCACTAAACGGCTGGTGTGCAGAGCCTGGGGTGGCCAGGTCAGGGCCATGTCCCCTCCTCTGTCTTCTAGTCCCTATCATGGGTCTGGCACCCTGAACTTCAGCCGCAGGTGGCCCTGGCTGTGGGGCAGGTGGTCACCCCGCCTTTTAGCTGTGCCCCTGGGTCTCACTCCCTGTGGGAAAGCCTATATAAGAACACCTGAAGAAATCGTTTTGTTGTTTTATTAAGGTTTTTGCCATAGACTGTGTGTTCACTGGAGAAAGGAGACAGAGGGAAAGTGGGAAACCACCCCCAGGGGAATGGTCCCTCCGGTCACTCCTGGGATTTGGGGCATGCATACACGTGCCTCTGGCAGGACCGTCAAGTCTGAGACTCGAACCGTGGTCAGCCAGGGTGGGAGTTTAGCGCCTTCACCACTGTGCCACCTGCTGGCACAGCACTCGTGTGGCCAGGCCGCAGGTAAGAAGCAGCAGCCCCAGCAGACTGGGGGGGAGATGGCCCAGGCGCCCCTCGCCCTGGTGCCAGCTTAGGTGGACGCCGGGTCCTGGCACACAGGCCATGTGTCACCCTCTCCTGAGAGGGCCGCTCTGGGAAAACGCCTGGGGTCTTAGTCCCCACAAAAGGCAGCCAGCCGCTAGGTCAGGGGCAGCAGCATGGGCTGGGTGGCCGTTTACGTGGGGAGCCGCGGTAGGGCAGGCGCTAACTCCCCGACGCCCTGCCTTGTTTCTGCGTCAGCTCTGACGTGTGGGTGGCCTGAGGCACGCGCGCAGGACGGTGTGAACCGGGCGCCACCTGGGCTTCCTGGAGACCCGGGGCTGCGCTGCCCGTGCGACCCCCTGCCTGCTGTCTCCCGTCACTGTGGCCCCGTCCAGCCCCAAGACACCCACGGGGCTGGGCTAGGAGGCCGAGGCCACAAGGACACGGACTTGCGGGGTCTGCTGCGGCTCCCTGGCGCTCCC